TGTATGCACATGGACGTAACCAAAATAAAAAATAAAATAAAATAAAAAATAAACCCGACCGACCGACCCTGGTACGGTATACGGATGAGTGAAGTGACCCGAAACAACGAATTAATTCTAGGTGGCCTAATTATTTTTTTATATGCGATCTAGCGTCAGATCAGTAGGGAGTCCGCGGCGCCGGGCCGGGCGCTGTGCAGACCCACCTGCGAACACTGACATCTGTACAGTCATGTAGATCTAGTGCAGTACTGGTAGATCTAGTATGGATTTTGAACTACAACACTACAAGCTAGTACAAGTACAAATATTACTGTCTTGGTGTCGTCGACGTCGGTGTACCGTGTCACGTGTGTACTGGCGCAGGGCACGGACTGGGCTCACGCGATCGCATTGACTGAGCATGCTAGCAGCGCTGTGTTTATGGAATGTATTTTTGAATCAGGATATTCTATCTACCGCGATGTCGCTGGACGTAGGTCAGATAGCCGTGGCCATCAGAAAGAAAATTATATCAATGTCTGCAAACTCGTACGAAGCAGACAATTGAGGAGGCCGTAGAGCAGCCAGTAAGGTAGTACAGCAGTGGAAGAAGCTGCTGCACAATGTGCGATAGGGGGCGAGCAAGTCGATCGTTTGTGGATCAACCTGCGAGCAAGGTCTATGCAGATGACAAGGTGAGATGAAGACGGCAAGGTTATTATTATAGATTATACATTGCGTTTATATTTATATTCAAGGGAGTTCCACATTAATGGCCCACAAAGCTGATGTACCAAAAATCCCATCAGGAACCTACTTACGGCATTTACTATCAGTATGGAACGTGTTATGTAGCGTTCGGTACTGAAAGAAACGGGAGTAAAAACACACTCTACTACAGATTGCGAATCCGCAAAGAGTTGGTTGGAGCTGCCAGCCATTCGCATGCAGACGTACCTCAAACGAAGGCCTGTATTCTCCTTCTCCTCGTCCATGGTGGCAAACATGTGGGGCAGGTTGGCTCCAAATAGTATCGGCCACGACAAAAAAGCCAACATGAGCCTTCAAAGACAAATCGTCAAGGCGTGTGCAGATCTCATTACTTTTTCGACTAGGCAAAAAAATCAACAATGTCGGAGGACTCAAGCGCAGCAGCTGCTTTAGGTTTCGCGCGGATTCTGCATAATTTGTGTGAAGCAGACCTCGAAAGTCGTTTTATGCGCCGTGTCATCTCCCTGTACTATACTACTCCCTGTACTAGACTACTCCGTACGAAAACAATCTTAACGCTACTACATGTTTCTTCTGCTTGCAAAGATCAGGCTTATACAAACGGATACAAACGAACGGATACAAACAGCTTCAAGAACTTTCAACTGACTAGCATACCACGCACGACACACAACAGAAAAACTAAAATCATCATACACCAGCACACACTGGGGGTGAGGTAACAAATGAACAAACACAGCAGACTTCTTACTATCACCATTGCCATCCGAATTGCTGATGAAGAGGATAATCCTTATAGGAGAGGATAATCCAAATTGTCCTCTCCATCGGTAGTGCACATATTTCTCAATCTTTTTCATGTTTGCGACATCCGTATGCACTAGTAGTAGTATGCACGTGCACTGCACGTGCACCCAGGGTAGAAACTGTACTCTATATCGCACGTCGCATGTCGCAAAAGTTGAACTTTTTTTCAACTTCTGCGACAGGTGCCTTGTGACTGTATGCGACAGCTCGCGACAGGCAGTTTCTTGTCGCAAATCGCGTGTCGCATCGCAGAAAGTTGTATTGTGAATCAGCCTTGCCGGATGACTGAATGCCGGATAAGTGACACACAATTGTATCACTCTCCATCCCCGGTATACCCTGTCCATCCCCGGGGGTATACCCTGTCCATCCCCGGGGGTATACCCTGTCCATCCCCGGGGGTATACCCTGTCCATCCCCGGGGGTATACCCTGTCCATCCCCGGGGGTATACCCTGTCCATCCCCGGGGGTATACCCTCTCCATCCCCGGGGGTATACCCTGTCCATCCCCGGGGGTATACCCTGTCCATCCCCGGGGGTATACCCTGTCCATCCCCGGGGGTATACCCTCTCCATCCCCGGGGGTATACCCTGTCCATCCCCGGGGGTATACCCTGTCCATCCCCGGGGGTATACCCTCTCCATCCCCGGGGGTATACCCTGTCCATCCCCGGGGGTATACCCTGTCCATCCCCGGGGGTATACCCTGTCAAGTACAGCAAAACAAGTACCGTAGACTGATCCGGCCGCGGATAAGCCCGGGGGCATGGGCTTATCTGTTTCACAAGGACATTTCGGTGGGCTTATACGCGGGCATGGGCTTATACGCTGACACCAACATTGTGTTATTGAAAAGGCCCGAGGAAGTGAGAAGTACATTGCTGAAAGCCACTGTGCAAACAAAAACAACCGATGATTGTGTTGAAATGTACAAAAAAAAACAAAAAAACCCTAAACACTCGTACTGCGTACATCATACATGTACATGGTACGACCAAGAGTCCATAATTTATGGACTCATGGTACAATTTAGGCCCATAGGCTTGTACGACGAAGCCTTGTGATGCTCGAACTTTCCCTGGGCTTATATGCGGGCATGGGCTTATACGCGGGATTCTCATCATCTGTAGGATTACAAAATGTTGGTTGAGCCCACAGACACTCCAGTAAAAATGCACCTCCGATGGCTGACCGCAGCATCCGAAATACTGTCCAACACCCTGTATATCCAGCAGCAAATCAGCATAGTGGACTCACTTTAACAAACAATGTTTATATAAAGTGGCTGATCTAGGGACATATAGGGGTATTCCACAGGTTTTCCTCCTTTATGCATATTCCTGCGCTAGTATCCCGTAGGCATTGATAACTCTGTGAAAAAGCTTTTTTGAGCTCTTTTGGTTCAAATTTAGCATTGTTTGGAGCAGAGAAAGATGCGAGAAGCATTTTTCTAGGAAATTTTTAAAAGACTTTTGTGGTGGTGTCTGGCAGTGGAAGGCAGCCGATGAATGTACAGCAACATATTTCTTATTAGTATTTTCTATCTCTATAATTTGACTTCATATGTGCCATGTAGGCGGCTTCTGTGGGATCATTTGAATTTCGTAACGTCATACAACAACAACAAGTAGAAAAATGGATACAGGTAAGAAGCTGGCAATGGCATAGGCTTGGGCACGAAAATGTGTGTGTGTGTGTGTGTGTGTGTGTGTGTGTGTGTGTGTGTGTGTACGTGTGTACGTGCATGTACATGTATGTGTGTGACAAGACATCAAACCATGCATTCCAGGGCATCACAAACTTTTGGTGTCCTCTGCTGCTCCATTTTCATGGGCATCAACATATCCATTGTTACCAAGGAACATGTACATGAAGCGTGTGTGCTGTTGCTTCTGCTGTGCTGGTCCGTATGCTGTGCTGGTCCGTATGCTGTGCTGTTGCTTCTGCTGTGCTGGTCCGTATGCTGTGCTGTTGCTTCTGCTGTGCTGGTCCGTATGCTGTGCTGTTGCTTCTGCTGTTCTGGTCTGTATGCTGTGCTGTTGCTTCTGCTGTGCTGGTCCGTATGCTGTGCTGTTGCTTCTGCTGTGCTGGTCCGTATGCTGTGCTGTTGCTTCTGCTGTGCTGGTCCGTATGCTGTGCTGTTGCTTCTGCTGTGCTGGTCCGTATGCTGTGCTGTTGCTTCTGCTGTGCTGGTCCGTATGCTGTGCTGTTGCTTCTGCTGTGCTGGTCCGTATGCTGTGCTGTTGCTTCTGCTGTGCTGGTCCGTATGCTGTGCTGTTGCTTCTGCTGTGCTGGTCCGTATGCTGTGCTGTTGCTTCTGCTGTGCTGGTCCGTATGCTGTGCTGTTGCTTCTGCTGTGCTGGTCCGTATGCTGTGCTGTTGCTTCTGCTGTGCTGGTCCGTATGCTGTGCTGTTGCTTCTGCTGTGCTGGTCCGTATGCTGTGCTGTTGCTTCTGCTGTGCTGGTCCGTATGCTGTGCTGTTGCTTCTGCTGTGCTGGTCCGTATGCTGTGCTGTTGCTTCTGCTGTGCTGGTCCGTATGCTGTGCTGTTGCTTCTGCTGTGCTGGTCCGTATGCTGTGCTGTTGCTTCTGCTGTGCTGGTCCGTATGCTGTGCTGTTGCTTCTGCTGTGCTGGTCCGTATGCTGGCTACCCCTGCAACAAGTTATTACAACACTCTCTCTCTCTCTATACCCTCCACCTTTGCTGCAATTAGTATATCCTAGGTATCAATCAGCAGGCAGTCTGGAGTGACTGGGTATACACCTCTCAAGTTCTCGCAATTTTAAATGAGACCAAGCAAGATGACATTCCCACTTGCCTGCTTTTGCGTCGGATCGAATGGCTTGGTTACCTTGCCAGGATGGATGACAGCCGAACCCCTTGCAAGATATTGCTTGGGACCCTTCAACCTACACATCCTGCATGTAATCCCCGGAAATGTTTGCGTGATGTGGTCCAAGCGGACATCCATCATCTGCTTCTTTAAGTAGATTGTTTGACATTGTGCAGCAGGGAGGCGGATAGTATAGCACAGTTGTCAATGCTTCACCGCCACAGCTGGATAGTATAGCACAGTTGTCAATGCTTCACCGCCACAGCTGGATAGTATAGCACAGTTGTCAATGCTTCACCGCCACAGCTGGATAGTATAGCACAGTTGTCAATGCTTCACCGCCACAGCTGGATAGTATAGCACAGTTGTCAATGCTTCACCGCCACAGCTGGATAGTATAGCACAGTTGTCAATGCTTCACCGCCACAGCTGGCCTCCCGCGATCAACAACAGTGCAGTTGTTTGCTGTTGTAAAACTCCATTCCGCAAAGCGGTCTGTCGTGTCACAAGTGCACCCGAGAACTCAGAAAGCCTGTAGCAGACCAGGCTGGCAGCAGGGAATGCAGCGCATATCGTTGCTGGTTTCGCAGTCCAGACTGGCAGTTCGCATATGCTGGAATATGCCCCATCTGCCACTCCAGTACATAGCCAAAGCACCCCTGTAAGACCACCATGTAGCGCACGTCAGCAGCTCTCCCTGACAGCAGCATTTAGAAAAATGCTGCTGTCAGATGATCGCTGAAATGTGTGAAACTTAAAGTTACAGATACAAAGCCTTTCGCCTCTGTTGTGTGCGTGTACATACATACATGCATCCTGTTAACCGCTTTCGGTCCAGTTTCGGATGAACCTGCAACAATGCAAAATGGCTTCCAACGCTCATGTCTTGTGCAGGGTTGCATGCTTCTGTTTTGTTCATGCATAATGTTATATTTAACACAGCGGTCATACGGATAGTAATCACATTGGTCATGGTATGATTTTGTAGACTATGCAGGTGTCGAATGTCACTATAGTGGTTCAATATGGCACAAATATATTCCTCCAATCAGTCGAAACCATCATACCATTGCCAACCACTTATGGTCCGGGCTTATAATACACATGAGCATATTCTCTTTTGCCGTTGTTATGTTGCCTGAAGATTGCTTTGTGCGAGACTCCCAAGTTTGCGCAGACAATTGTTCTAATGTCTGTGCTAGAAGGCTGTAGCTGGTAATGAGGCTGAACAGTTGAAAATGGTACCGTGTATATCCGGCTATGCTACCTGTATGTGCAGGATGTAGACGCTGCAGCTGACCGAGCACTCTCTGCACATTTGAAAGAAGATCTGGAAGATTGCTCAAGGTGTAGTATACCTACCATCCCTCCAAGTCACGGGACAAGTCATGCACAGTGTCGTTCTCATGATGTCATTACAGAAGGTACATGACATGTGTGTTTGAATACTTGTGTAGCATAGATGATTTTTAAATGAACGGCTATAATATAGCAGTTCATTTACGCTAATTTGTGGTCTCATTACTGTGTTAGATCTGAACAATTACGTGTCTGTCTTTTAGAATGGCCGTTGTGAGCACAGTCGAGTGTTTGGTGAGTGTGTTCGATTTTTCCCACAAATCAATTTTGAATCTATTCATGAATTTGTCCCTGGCTATTGTCATCACCCCATGTGAATAGGATGAATCGAATACGAACCGATTCCTGGGCTCATGACATGAAAATCGAACGTCTTAAACGCTCCAGATTCCAGTTATGACTCGATTCATGGGCGTAATCGAACACACCCAGTGTAAGATGTGTGATACTTTCTTTCTCAATGCATAAGTCAGGCTTGAGCAAGTGAATGTGTACAGCTTCTAACACCTTCACCTGTGATGAACGGCTAGCTAGACACAATACCGTAGAATCCCGCGGATAAGCCCATGGGCTTATCTGTTTCACAAGGACATTTCGGTGAGCTTATACAGGAACATGGGCTTATACGCGGGCATGGGCGTATACGCTGACACCAACACTGTGCTATTGAAAAGTACCAAGGAAGTGAGAAGTACATAGTCATTGCTGAAAGCCACTGTGCAAACAGAAACAACCGATGATTGTGTTGAAATGTACAATAAAAAAACTGCACGACCAAGAGTCCATAATTTATGGACTCTTGGTACGATTTAGGCCCATGGGCTTGTACGATGAAGCTTTGTGATGTTCGAACTTTCCCTGGGCTTATGCGCGACCATGGGCTTGTATGCGGGTGGGCTTATCCGCGGGATTCTACGGTGCGCTGAAACTATTGTCACGATACATCTGACAACAATCTGGACTGGCTTTCAAATGTGTACACACCGCCGACTTCTTCATCTAGCCTCGCCCGACAACTTAAGATGATGGGGTAACTCTGCTGTAGACCATAGTTGCCCTCTTTCTCAAAGAGCATCAACCCTCAGGCACATCCTCACCGCCTGGCCTTCCTCACTTCACCACGGAAGACATACATGGCGCCACAACAACGCCCTAAAACAGATTATTCAGCTTGTTACAGAAATAGTCTCACAATGCTGCGCCTCTGTGATATGTAGCTCTGTTGATTGATTTTACAAATAGATTTAACTTAATGGATTGTCCGGCACATGCTATGGTGCTATGCTATGGTGCTATGCTATGGTGCAGTAATAGCCCAGTACACGTACTGTTGTTTGTTACCGTATACGGAGAGGCAATGACATGAGAGAGAGAGAGAGAGAGAGAGAGAGAGAGAGAGAGAGAGAGAGAGAGAGAGAGAGAGAGAGAGAGAGAGAGAGAGAGGGAGGGAGGGAGGGAGGGAGGGAGGGAGGGAGGGAGGGAGGGAGGGAGAGGGAGAGGGAGAGGGAGAGGGAGAGGGAGAGGGAGAGGGAGAGGGAGAGGGAGAGGGAGAGGGAGAGGGAGAGGGAGAGGGAGAGGGAGAGGGAGAGGGAGAGGGAGACAGACAGACAGACAGACAGACAGACAGACAGACAGACAGACAGACAGACAGACAGAGACAGACAGAGACAGACAGAGACAGACAGAGACAGACAGAGACAGACAGACAGAGAGAGAGAGAGAGAGAGAGAGAGAGAGAGAGAGAGTGTGTGAGAGAGACGGAGAGAGAGAGGGAGAGGGAGAGAGGGAGGGAGAGAGAGAGAGTAAATTTGTGCTGTTCAGCATGCAACATAGTTGAACCCCTGCTGGCCTAGCAGCATTGTACTGTGTGATTGTGGGAGTTGTGGCAGCATTGCTTATGAGTTTGACTGTACATTAGCTGCTCTCGTATTCCTTGTTTGTGTGTGCTCTGTCTCAGCAAGGCAATTGCTCTCACAGTACATGGATGACCATGCAGAACCTGTTTCCGAAGCCAATCGTCTCACTATGCCAAACTCAGGAACTTTATTGGGAAAGCAGTATCAAGCAACATATCCGTATCCCGCTTGCCAAAATACTGTAAGCTGTCCAAGTGAGGCTCTTGGCGATGCTCACTTCATGTTGAACACGATGAAGGATGTCCACTTCTTGGATTTGTCTCCAGAGTTGTCAGTTGGAGATGAATATACAACAACGAATGAGCAGCATCAGGTACATGCTGAAGTAGGTGATGTGGTGAATCAGTTGATGGCCGCACCAATTCAGCAAGCAAGATCTTCTCGAAGCCATGATCCGAATATCACAATGGATGCCCGCCGGATGCAGGTACGAGTTAAGTACATGGGTGGCAGACTAAGGGAGATGGCACACTTGTTATTCTGATTGTTCTTTGCCTTTCATGCTTTATTCTGGGCAACTACTTCCTCCGTTAACAAAACCTTCATGATGGATTTTTGAGGGACTGGTTTGCGCACAAACTGCCGTGAAATGAGTCGCAATCACTTTCTCGGCCTTCCCTGGCATGCCATGAAAGAGGTACGATGCAAGAAAAGCGACCTTTCACAACAAGGCGAGCGGAATCGATGATTGCACTATGGCAACATAAGTGATCACAGTTATGGCGAGCGAAACTGAAATACCACTTCTCCGAGGGGATAATGCGTTTCTTGGCCTCTACTACTCTAGCACTGAGTTGGAGAGTGAAAGAGAGCGATGGAACGGAGCAGCGAGCCCACACAATGAGCGAGTGAACAAGGAGCTGCTCCGATCGCACGGCTCAATAAAACAATTCTGAACTCAAGTTCTTGTTCAACCTGCGCAAAGCCCAGATTCGAATGCTGATGACCATGCCATTCTTTCAGAAATCTGCAGTCCGACACGAGTCTCGTGGCTAAAGAAAGTCGACTGGGCTTGCTAGCCGCTGCCGTTCAGTGCTGGCAAGGGTATCCATTAGAGAAAATGAAATCAATTTGGCTGTGCCTTTACGCCTCGTTTCCCGGAGTTCTGGAGAGCGAAGATGAAACCAGGGAGTCGTAAAATATTTTTACGACTCCGTAGTGGAGACGAGTAATCGCCATCGCGGCGGATCACGCAGCTTGAAAGCCAGCTTACTTGAACGATGGCGACATCAAGGTCAGCAGAGTGTGATCAAAGAAGCCGAGGCAAGGCTGAAACGCGCTGAACAACGACTCTAGAGAGAAGACGACTCGCGTGCAGCAGATGACGACAGCAGCGCAGGGTCAACAATGAGTCGAGTGAAAGCGACGCAAACTGAACTCTCTGCACATTCCGCCAACAGTTTATCTTGTAAAGACGCTGTACATAGGCTGAACTACCTTCGTCCAGTGATTTGCAGTCGATACAAACTGTTCTTGGCCTTTTCTAAGCGTTTTCATATTCATCAAATCCATCACGAAGTTTTTGTTAACGGAAGAAGTAGCAGATAACAGCAATGCTCAGCTACCGTATTTCTGACCAAAGTATTTTAGAAACCCTGTGGCCATATTCTTAACTTCTGACCAAGGCACAGGAGTATCCTCCCTATACTTCAAAGCCAATAATGGAGCGTCACTTGCACATGAGTGGTACAGTCACTTTGCAAGTAAATACAGTGAAATGAAGTGACAAAGATGTTAGTGAGGATTGCGACTGATAAAGCCCAACAATTTTTTTTCCAGTGCCCGAAACTCCACATCAATTTTTGATCATGAGGCCAACCAGAATTAATTCTTTCGGGTCACCCGACCGAACGTAATTTTTCACCCGACCGCTAAATTGTTTTTAGTGTGGATGTGCTATTGTACACAGTGTACAGACAACTTTGCGAATAACGACATTCGGCGGGGCATCAGAAAAGTGTCCTTATACGCAAAGTGTCCTTGTGCCCGAAGTCCCATTTGAATGTATGTGAACCCATACTTTTGTATAGTAGGACATGCATATCAAAATGAAGCTCTTTTCATACTCTATGCAAATGTGTACTTTATTTTCGTATTACAAATGAAAGGAACTATACTATAAAGTCAATATGGAAGGGAAATAGACTGAAAAATTAGCCTTTTGGAGCCATCAACAGGGACATGTACAATCATGTACTACCGTATTTCCCCGTAAGTTAGTACTTACCAACTTTCGAACTTAGCAGCCACATGAGTACTAACTTTCGGGGGTGGTACTATCTTTCGGGGAGTACTTTTTTATCGGGGGTAAATGACACACAGTGGGAAGCCTGCGCAACTCTAGTGTCCGTGCATATGATGTACAGTAAAACCTGTAACTAAAGACCACCGTGACTAGCGACCAGCCTGGTACTACCGACCATTTCACCAGGCACGGACGGTCTCACATTCAAAATACACTGTGACTAGCGACTACCTGCTGAACGCGACCAGCGACCGCCTTTTCTTGTCCCAAAGACGACTTTTGACCGTAACTAGCGACCGCGATGTAGGAGATCAAATGTTGCTCGAAGCTCCTTCTTGAAATTTTGCTGATTTTCCATGGTCCCATAATTTTCATATAGGCATAAAGGAATCTTTCGATACTACAGTACAGCTGAAAAAATGAACGCAGATCATTTTGACGGTGGAGTTCGAGTCGGTGTGGACTGCACTACGCCTGTCAAAATAATTTCAAGCCCTGTCAAGAATAAACATGATAGGAAACGTCTTGGAGAGCGCATCGGAAGCGCTCTCTGATCGATGTTACTACTCGGAGGAGAAACGAAGACGGAGCGGCTCTGTCACCCCAGTCATACAGACGAATCGACGATTGCATCAAGGAATCCATAAACAAAGCAGCACTGCAAGATCCTGATGCTGACGGATCGCGTTCAAGCAATCGAGAAGTCCGCACAACAAGGACCGTGAGTCAGTACAATTGATCGCATGAACAAATTTGAAGCCCAGCGCAAAACGAAACTTCCCCAGGGAACATTTGACTCCTGGCTTCAGAAGTAGCAGCTGAATTTGATGTCTGCAAAAAATGAATCTTTTCTCCGTCTCTCTGTCTCTCCGTCTTTCTCTCCAAGTGTTGTATGACCTAAAATAAGAATGGTATTGCGCAGGTCCTGGGGAATCATGTGTAGTGTATTGGCTGTGTTTTGACATACATATCACATAATGGGGTCCATATATGGTCACGCAGTGCAAACCTCTAACTAAAGACCACCTGCTACTAAAGACCGTTTTTGCTGGCACCAAGGGGTGGTCGCTAGTCACAGGTTTTACTGTATGTACTGTACGGTGTCTGTACATGTAGGACGGGTACGAACTTACTATCTTTCGGGGGGGGGGACTGTCTTTCGGGGTGATAACCTCGGCAGTGGAAAGTGTATTTTTTATAGGGGGTACTAAGTCATTGGGGAGAACTAACTTACGGGGAAATACAGTAGTACTTGTACATGTGCATGTATGGCGTGGATTCGTGTACAATCATGTACAACTACATATAATTGTACATGATTGTACAACTACATGTAGTTGTACAATCATGTACAACTACATGTAGTTGTACATGATTGTACAACTACATGTAGTTGTGCTGAACACTCCAACTATTTAGAAGCAAAATAAAATATAAAATAAAAATGCACCCCCCCCCCCCTCCCCTTGGCTGCATCTTTTTGCACGTGTGCCTTTATCCATCGCCATGGGTTCTGGCACTTCTGAATGACAGGTACTTGAAATAGCTGTCAAAAGCCCAGAAAGTCGTTATTCAAGCAGTGAATATGACCTCTGGGCACTAAAAGCATGTCGCTATTCGCGAATTGTCGTTATTCAGATAGTCGTTGTATCCGAAGTTAAATGTATACAGTTAGATGGGACTTTGCTCTGGGCATGGAAATTCTGTCGTTATTCGCGAATTGTCGTCATATCCGCAGTCGTTATAAGCGAAGTTGACTGTACATGATTGTGTACACGCGCAATCCAAAATTCCTAACCCCACGCACGAAAACAGCAAGGAGCAAGGAATGCTTCCGAAAGGATCTCGGACATGCCTGCGTAGGCTTCAGACATTCTCAAATCTCAATTTAGCTTCCACAGAGCATTGTTCAGAGCAACCACAGACAAAATAGAACTTGTTCTAGCAATGCCAGTGGTGTGTGCACCTGTGCTGGACGGTACAAAGCTTTCTGCCGACGGAAGGGCCTTTCGCGTCGAAAACTCCCAGATCATAACTGAAGTGATTTTAGAGCAGATCATTCCTGATCCGCGGATCGCAATCGATTTTCAGCGGTCCAGACAGTGATCTCGGAAGCAGCTAAATGACAGGATGCAGTGCTTGGTGACGACGTTGTCTTCCATTTTCGCCTATCGGCAATCGGTCATAAAACTGCACCAGCTCCACCACCTTGTCGCTCATTGACAAAAGACTTGGTGAGAGCTGCACGTCAGACCGGGCCAGCGAGGCCAAGATCTGGTCCTGAGGCCGGGACAGCGCAGGATCGTCTACGGTCAGATTTGATCAACTGGCTTGATGGACAAAAGCTTGGATATTCGATAATAGATATGCACAATCTACATGGTCATACATGTGTGCAAGTGGTAGAAACCAAAATAAAGAATAAGTCAAATATAGAATAAAAACCCGACCGACCAACCCTGGTGCGGATAAGTGAAGTGACCCGAAACAAAAAATCAACTCTGGGTGGCCTGACCACTTTCAGATTTGCATCACTTTAATGGTGTAGGTGGCCACTTTACTGAACTAAACAAAATTGTAAAAACACACATTGTGCACTGTAGAGCTCACGTCGCAAAGGCATACATGCTGATCTGAAAAGATCATGAAAATGACATAATTCCGAAAATGAGTCGTGACAGCTACCCGTTGGCAGTAACCAGTCGTACATAGTTGTACTTCCTCCGCGTCATTAAAATTGTCGCTTCGCACATCGCAATGTTTGTGAGTTGCTCTTCTTTGTCAGACTAAGAAAAATTTCACGAGATTTTCTCATATTTTGAGATGGTACACAAGTGGTAGACAAAGGAAAGCAAGGGCATATCCTGCCGAAGCTACAGGAAGAGACGGGATACCTGGCCACCTTCTGAAGTGCTGTGCCGATATCCTAGCTGCGTCCGTGACCACGTTGTTTAATGCCTCGCTTGTCAATGGCACTGTCCCCACAGCCTTCAAACTCGCACACGTTATCCCGCTGTTCAAAGCTGGGGACCAGTCTATTCCCACTAACTTCCGTCCAGTGTCCCTACTTCCCATATTGTCAAACTCTTGGAGAAAGTCGTATAGAAGAAGCTAGCCCAGTTTCTGGACATAGCTGGTACCCTCCCCACGACTCAATTTGCATTCCGCGCAGGCCACTCAAC